TCATGCTTTTATATTTTCATCACATTTCTGCACTTTTCTATGTCTGTTGGCTGAGCAGCACATTTTTCGAGATGGCTAATATTGATTACGAATTTTGCAATAGCAGTAAAAATATTAAAATTTTACCAAAGATTTGTAGTTCGGGTTGTGGGTGAGGTTGTTGACTTGCTCGCTGAGCTAGCTTGTTTTCGTTCAGACGTTTTGTCGCCATGCCAGTAACATCATCAGTGACGCCTCCAATGAAGTGATGATGTTCTACTCTGCTTTGAAGTTATATCATCTGGTCCGTTATGGTGAGTAGTGTCATTTCTGCTTTTGATCTGTATGGGTTTGTATATGGGGTCCAATTCTATATGTTTGTTGATTGCATTACAGGTTGAGAACCACGCCTCTAGGAATTCCCGTGCGTGTCTATGTTAGTTACGTTGTCCCAGTTAAACTGATGGCCTTCATTATCTGAGTGTAATGATATTAAGGAAAGTTTGTCACGTCGTTTAGCTGCTAGCTGATGTTCATGTATTCTGATGGCTAGTTTCCTTCCAGTCTGTCCGATTTAATGTTTGTGGCAGTGGTAGTAAAAGCATTCCATTATAAATAAACAACAACAGAGCATTTAGATTTTAGAATTGGGAAATCCAATCAATGTTTGGAGCGGATTTTCAAGAAAGCATTTAAATGGAATTGAGCTTTCCAGCTGCATGTTAAAATTGGACAAGGTGACTCAACAATGATGTAGTCTGAGCCAGGGGCAGTTCAAGAATACTGTTTACAGTGGTAGGGGTATGATATACAAACCACCCTTACTTTTCAAATTTTAAAGTCAGACTGGCAATTAAAATCTTCTCCATTTATTTATACATGAAAGACAGTTTCACAATATTATCATTTCAAACAAAAGGTAACAATTTTTTGGAGTATCAGTGGTGCAGGATTGGTTAAATGATAAACCTTACTGCTTATTCCTGTAAGTTTTCTTCAAGGTCAATTCTGATTACATTATTTCTTAATACATATAATTATTTTCAAAAAAATCTCTCCGATGCTCTGTGTAAAAGTCACATTGAAGCTTCTTAACAATTATTATGAAAAACCTTTTTGAATTCTATCTGTTTCAGTCATAAAATGTCTTGTACACTGATGAAACTTACTGTTTGAAGTGAAAAGAAAACCAAAACTCACCATAAAACCAACTCAAGAGACAACAAGGTGCAAAGCTGGATGAACACAGCAGACCAAGCAGCATCATAGGAGCAGGAAGGCTGACGTTTCGGGCCTAGACCCTTCATCAGAAAAGGGGGAGGGGAAGGGGGTTCTGAAATAAATAGGGAGAGAGGGGGAGGCGGATAGAAGATGGATAGAGGAGAAGATAGGTGGAGAGGAAACAGACAGGTCAAAGAGGTGGGGATGGAGCCAGTAAAGGTGAGTGTAGGTGGGGGGTTAGGGAGGGGATAGGTCAATCCAGGGAGGATGGACAGGTTAAGGGGGCGGGATGAGCTTACTAGGTAGGAGATGGGGGTGGGGCTTGAGGTGGGAGGAGGGGATAGGTGGGAGGAAGAACAGGTTAGGGAGGTGGGGACGAGCTGGGCTGGTTTTGGGATGCGGTAGGGGTTGGGAGATTTTGAAGCTTGTGAAATCCACATTGATACCATTGGGCTGCAGGGTTCCCAAGCGGAATATGAGTTGCTGTTCCTGCAACCTTCGGGTGGCATCATTGTGGCATTGCAGGAGGCCCAGGATGGACATGTCGTCTGAGGAATGGGAGGAGGAGTTGAAATGGTTCGCGACTGGGAAGTGCAGTTTATTGCGAACCGAGCGTAGGTGTTCTGCAAAGCGGTCCCCGAGCCTCCGCTTGGTTTCTCCGATGTAGAGGAGGCCACAACAGGTACAGCGGATGCAGTATACCACATTGGCAGATGTGCAGGTGAACATCTGCTTGACATGGAAAGTCTTCTTGGGACCTGGGATGGGAATGAGGGAGGAGGTGTGCGGGCAGGTATAGCACTTCCTGCGGTTGCAGGGAAAAGTGCCGGGTGTGGTGGGGCTGGAGGGGAGTGTGAAGCGGACAAGGGAGTCACGGAGAGAGTGGTCCCTCCGGAAAGCAGATAAGGGTGGAGAGGGAAAAATGTCTTTGGTGGTGGGGTCGGATTGCAGATGGCAGAAGTGTCGGAGGATGACCTGTTCTTCCTCCCACCTAGCCCCTCCTCCCACCTCAAGCCGCACCCCCATCTCCTACCTACTAACCTCATCCCGCCCCCTTAACCTGTCCGACCTCCCTGGACTGACCTATCCCCTCCCTAACTCCCCACCTACACTCACCTTTACTGGCTCCATTCCCGCCTCTTTGACCTGTCTGTTTCCTCTCCACCTATCTTCTCCTATGTCCATCTTCTATCTGCCTCCCCCTTTCTCCCTATTTATTTCAGAACCCCCTTCCCCTCCCCCTTTTCTGATGAAGGGTCTAGGCCCGAAACGTCAGCCTTCCTGCTCCTATGATGCTGCTTGGCCTGCTGTGTTCATCCAGCTCTGCACCTTGTTGTCTCGGATTCTCCAGCATCTGCAGTTCCTACTATCTCTGATTCAATAAAACCAACTCAGATTGCTTTTTTTCATTTTACTGTCAACTTAGATTTAAAACTCAATATACTTTGCATTATCCAGTCTCCATCACTAATTTTTTTCTATGATTCTACTGTTCACAGTTTCTTTTGGGCGATGGCCTGCAAATTGTGAAAAAGGTCTCAAACATTTGCAGAATTGACCCATGCCCATTTGGGAACTCTGCTCATAATGAGCCCCAGGTTAATGGATTGGTTGTTCTCTCTGCTGGCTGCCAATGTGGGCAATGAATGCTGGACCCGCCAGTGATGCCCACATCCCATGATTGAATATTTAAAAAAAATAATTTTTTGCTAACAGGGACACAGGCATCTTTCAGTACAAGAAGGCAGTTTTTAGTTGTCACTGACTTGGAGGCATCTAGCCTCTGTGTGTACCATTGCTTTTTGAATACCCACTGAATTTAGTGCTTACTTGCAGGCTTACGATCCATGTGGGTATCTCTTTGGATTCGGTCCTGGGACACCTTTGAGAGATTAAATATATAAATGAAATGTCTGGTTTCATCAGAATTTAATGCAATTTAATTAAATGTGCTGATTTTTCATCAACTAATGTTTTTTAAAAAAATAATTTTGCAAAGGACACAATCTTGTTTCATTTCAACATGATTATGAGAGTGTGTAGAGTGGGCAGTTGGTTGCCTTTATTGGCATGGATGGGATACTGGAAGTGTGAGGGGTGTGAAGGATTATGAAAGGTGAGGACTTAAGGGTTGTTCAATGTTTTAATTTTTTAAAAAAACTTCGACACAATGCCAGAGCACTAAAGTAGGCCTTCCATGCAGTCCATTTCCACATTTGGAAGCTCTATTCTCTTTCTAGATTTGACTGAGTCACATCCATGAGAACCACATCATTCTAGAATTAAAATGAAAATTTTCAAACCACCTTTTCCCAGGAAGGATTTACATAAGTGGGAAATGTATCAAATTTGCATTCTAGGAATGTCAAGTTTTATAAATAATTACACTTTAAGCAGTATATTTAATTCCAAGATAGAATGGAATTGGAGATCTAGGGGACAGCTAATTAGCATTTTTACCCGGATACAAAGCCTAAACAATTCACATTGCTATGGGGATACATATTAAGAAGGGACAAATCCATGAAAAGTCATTGTACATGATTACGTGATTTCCTAAGATATCATTGAATCTGACATCTCCAGGTTTGGGACTGTTACCACCACCTTCAACAATTTTCCCTTCGAGACCAGTGTATTATATTAGCAATATGTACCACCTACAGGATGTACTGCTGAATCTTGCTAAGCCTGCTTCAACAGTACCTTCTGAATCTGCGACCCTGCTACCAACAAAGACAAAGGCCCAAAATGCATAGGAAAATCAGTAGCTACAAGTTCCACTATGAGCCACTCCCCATTCTGATGTGGCACTATATCACCATCCATTTGCTGTCACTGGATCAAAATCCTGGAACTTCCTTCCAAACAGCACCCTGGTTGTATCCACACCATAGCGAATGTAGCAGTTCAAGAAGGCAACATATCACTACCTTCTCATGATCAATTAGGTATGGACAATAAGAACCTTCCCAGCAAGTACTGCCCACATCCTGTGATAAATTTAAAAATAAATGAAGGGTCTACTGAAAGGGCAGAGGAAAATAGAATATGAGGGGGATTTTTGATCATGTTAAAAGTTAAATGGGAGATCTTATCTGTAGTTTAATGCATATGTTTGGTTAATAATCTGAAATACTGCTTTTAGTTAATTTATGACAGGAAAAGTCTTAAAATTTGAAATCATGTATGATTGTTTCAACCAGTTCTGGAAATAGAAATACATTTTAGAAACTGTCAGTCTTCATGAGGACAACATCTATATTCCTTTATTTACATCGTATACTTCTTTTCATGTATGTTTCCAACATCTGCAGTATTTTGGTTTTATATTAAAATGTAGTTGCAGTTGTTAGATAGATGAAGATGAGAATCAATTTGCACACAGCGAATCCCACAATGCAAATAATTTTATGTTTTAATAATCTGTTCTAATTGAGTACTGATTTGAAATAATTATGACAGGAACTATATGCGGCTTACACTCACTAGCTATAACAGATGTATATGCCATACAAAGAATAGGATTACACATACATGCAACTTGGCACAAAAAAGTGCATATATGAGATATACTTTTACCCAATTGTAAAATAGGGTACAACATAGACCAATGTCTTTGAAGGTTTCTCTACAGGTTAATGGAGAAGAAGTTTAATCAAGTAGACTACTGAACGAAAGGACAAAAAGTTTCATAAGATTCAGGTTCTTATGAAGTTCTGAGAAACAGGGAAGAGAACAAGCTCATCAAATGTGGCAGTACAGTTATATTTGTTCATACCAATGCGAATTGCAGGTACCTGAAGAAGAACGTGTGAACACCTCTTTTGGAATATAAAGTTTGTCTTCTGAATTTTTTGCCCAATCTTTCATTCCTCTTCTGCCTTTCATTGGGAAGCTGATATCACTTGACACAGCAGATACAGGCTCTCGTTGTATACTAGTCACTGAAAAGATAAGGATAAAGTTATTACTTCAATCCTACTTGGTCTTATTATTATATTTTCCATTGTAGTGCAATATTATCAATCAATAAGTACCTGAGAACTTCTGTTGGCTTAGCCTGTAACCATAACAGAATAGTATAGGGGTGGCATGGAGCTCAGTGGTTAGCGCTGCTGCCTCACAGTGCCAGGGACCTCGGTTCAATTCCAGGTCCGGTGACTGTGTGGAGTTTGCACATCCTCCCCATGTCTGCGTGGGTTTCCTCTGGGTGCTCCAGTTTCCTCCCACAGTCCAAAGATGTACAGGTTAGGTGGATTAGCCATGTTAAATTGCCAAATGGGAAATGCAGGAATAGGGTATAGGGTGAGTCTGGGTGGGATGCTCTTCAGAGGGTCGGTGTGGATTCCGTGGGCCGAATGACCTGCTTTTGCACTGTAGGGATTCTATGAAATGTGAAATCTCACAAGACTTAAAAGAAGAATTAGGCCATTTGGACCATCAAATCTGCTCTGCCATTGAATCATGGCTGATATGTTTTTCCAACTCCTTTCTCCTCCTTCTCCCCACAACCCTTGATCCCCTTACTGATCAATAACCTATCTATTTCTGTCTTAAAAACACTCTATGACTTGGCCTCCACAGTCTTCTGCAGCAATGAGTTTATGGGTTCACCATCCTCTATCTGAAGAAATTCTTCCTCATCTCAGTTCTAAATTGTTGTCGCTTCACTATGAGATTTTGTCCTCGTATCCTAGTCTCTCCTACTAGTGGAAACATCTTCTCTACATCCACTCTATCCAGGCCTCTCAATATTCTGTAAGTTTCAACGAGATTTCCCCTCATCCTTCTAAATATCAGCACGTACAAACCCAGCATTCTCAACTGCTCCTCAAATGACAAGTTCTTCTCTGGGCCCCCGACAAGGCCTGCACATCCTTCCTAAGATATGGGGCCCAAAACTGCTCACAATATTTCAAATGCAGTCTGACAGTCTTATATAGACTCAGTAGTACATCACTGCTCTTATTCCACACATCTCTCAAAATAAATGCTAACATTGCATTTGCCTTCCTAATTGTCAACTGCACCTGCATGTTAATCCTAACAGAATCCCGAACTAGGACTCCCAAGTTCCTTTGTGGTTCAGATTTTCGAAGCCTTTCCCCAGGTAGAAGTTGGAATGCAACCATCAGACAGAGTAATCCTGGGATGGGGAAGAGAATAAGTGACAAGTTTTACCATAGCTGTTAGCTCCGTACTGATTTTTAGTAGAAACTATATCCTTGCCAACAGTAGTGGGAAGGTGGAAAGGGTAGAAAAGGACAAACAGTAAGAAAGGTCAGGAGAGTGAAAGAGAGGGCAAGGGAGGGGAGGGAGGAAGGCAGGACAGGTCATTTCAAATTGAAAGAAAAGGTGTGCAATACTGTAAAGATTTATAGTGAGCCAGAGAATTGGATAGGTCTATGAAATAAGCAGGTGATGACTAAAAATACTTTGAAAAGAACTTAGAGTACTACAGTAAACTTACAAGAAATAAGAAACACATAACAGACAATATAATAATATAAAAGAATAATTCACCAACGATCCTTAGATAGCACGTTCCAAACCCACAATCATTTACAACTAGTAGGACAAGGGCAGCAGATACATGGGAACACCACCGACTTCAAGTTCCCATCCAAGCAACTCATAATCCTGACTTGGAAATATATCACCATTCCTTCATTGTCGCTCGGTCAAGATCCTGGAATTCCTTCCCTAAGGCCAACCTACAACATGTGGACTGCAGCGGTTCAAGAAGGCAGCTCATCACCACCTTCTCAAGGGTAAACATTAAAATGGCCAGCCAGCGACACTGGTATCCCAACGTGTAAATTTAAAAAATGTATAAAAAGGAAGAAAATAGTTAAAACAAAGTTGGTCCCTTAGGGGGTGAGACTGGGGAACCTGACAATGAGAAACAAGGAAATGGCAGAGACTTCTAATAATCCTTTTTATCTCTTCAAGGTAGAAGACAAAAAAAAGCATCTGAAGAATAACAGAAAATCAAGTGGTACAAGGAAAAGACAGTTTAAAACCTCATGGAAACTCAAGAGGAATCATAGCTGACAAGTCCCCTAGACTTACGGATTATCTGCAAGAGTCTCAAAAGAAATGGCTGAAGAGATAGTGAATGTTTGAATTTAAATCTTCGAAAATTCCTTAAATTCTGGAATAATCCTCCAGATCAGAAAACCACAATTGCAACAATTCTGTTTAAGAAAGAAAGGAGACAGAAAGCTGCAAAATAGAGGCCAGTTAGCCTTATGTCTGTCATTGAAGAAATGTTATAACCCATTGTAAAAATGGTAGCAGCAGAACATTTAAAATATTGCAATATTATCAAGCAGAGTCAACATGGTGTTGTGAAAAGCAAGTCACGTTGACAAATTTATTGAAATTTTTTGACAATATAGCAAGTAAGACATGAAATGTATTCAGACTTCTGAGAGGCATTTGATAAAGTGACATATACAGTGTTACTATGTATGCTAAGAGTTAATCATGAGGCAAGTATCAGGCTGTGTTTATTGTGAATGCTACCACCCAGCAAAGAACATGAGTAATAGGCGGATGTTGCCTAACACAAATGGCAATACAATGACATTTGGAAAAGATCGGGCAATGGAGGGACAGACACTCCAACTCTTGGCTTCTCTTATCTCCTTTCTGCTCTCAGCCTCATTCCTCTCCACGCCAGGTGCTGGCCACCCCACCTTCCATTGTCAGCCTTTGGCCCACTCCCACATACACCCTGCCTCCACCTCGTTGACCTCTTCTCAGAAGTACATACACTGATGATGACTTCACCATACACAGAACACAGTAATATCATTGGTATGTGCATGTGCTTCCTGTGGCCTATGCAGTAATGGTCACTGGCTATGTCTGAGCATGCATGGTGGCCATATTGCATTTTGGGTAATCATTCCAAAGAAATTTGTGTGGAAAGGGGACCAGTGAACTAGCAGGAAACAGTGTCACAGTGATTCAGAATATATGGGCAATTTTCCCCAGCATTGGAAAATATAACTAGAGGATTCATAGGAATTGGAATTCACTGGCTGGCCAACATTTATCATCCTAATTACACCTGAGAAGATGGTGGTGAGGTTCCTTCTTGAATTGCTGCAGTCTATTTGATGCAATAAACATAGTGTTGTTAGGGAGGAAGTTCCAAGATTTTGACCCACTAATAGTGAAGGGACAGCAATATATTCCTGAGTCAGGATGGTGAGTGACTTGGAGAGGAACCCACAGGTAGTCATGTTTCCATGTTTCGGTTGCCTTTATCCTTCTAAATCATAATAGTCATGTGCTTGTAAGATGCCATCTAAAGAAGTCTTGATGAATTTCTACAGTGCATCTTTTTTTTATTCATTTTTGTGGGATGTGGGCGTTGCTGGCTGGCCAGCATTTCTTGCCCATCCCTAGTTGCCCTTGAGAAGGTGGTGGTGATCTTGCATTGGAGATGGAGAGTTTGTGGATGTGGTGCCAATCAGGTGACTATTTTGATCTGAATGGTGTCAAACTTTTCATGTATTCTTAGAGTTGCACTCGTCCAGGCAAGTGGGAAGTATTCCGTCACAGCCCTGAATTGTGCTTTCTATATGGTGGACAGGCTATGGATAATCAAGAGATGAGTTAGTCATTGCAGGATTTCTAACCTCTGAGCTGGTCTTGCAGTCACAGTATTTATATGGCTCATCCAGTTCAGCTTCTGGCCAAAAATCATGATATTGGTTGACGCAATGCCATTCAACTTAAGGGACGCTGGATAGATTCTCTCCTGTTGGAGATGATCATTGCTTGGTGCTTGTTTGGGATTAACGTTACTTGCCACCTATTAGGCTAAGCCTGGATATTGTCCAGGTCTTGTTGCATTTGGACAAGGACTATTTCATTATCTGAGGAGTTTCTTGAGATGGCGCTGAATATTGTGTAATCATCAGTGACATCCCGCTTATGACTGTATAATGTAGCGAGGGTCATTGATGAAGATGTTTGGGCCTCAGACTCTATACTGAGAAATTCCCGCAGAGTTGTCCTGGAATTGTGAGAATTCACCTCCAACATCCTCAGTCATCTTCCCTTGTCTTCAGTGTAACTTCCACCAGCAGTGATTTTCCCCTTATTCCAATTGACTAGTTTTGCAAGGACATCTTGATACTACATTTGGTGAAATGTAGCATGATATCAAAGATATCACCATCATCTTCACCACCTTTTGGAGTTCAGCTCTTTTGTCCATGTTTGAACGAAGGTTACAATGAGGTCAGAAGCTATGTGGTCTCGGTGGGACACAACTGAGAGTCAGGGAACAGATTATTGCTAAAGTGCTGCTTGATAGCACTGCTCATGGCCCATTCCATCACTCTACTGTTGATCAAGGTTAGATTAATGAAGCGTTAATTGGCTGGGTAGTATTTGTCCAGCTTTCTGTGTACAGGACATACCCGGGCAATTTTTTCATTGCTTGTTATATGCCAGTGTTGTACTGAGATAGATTGGTGACTGGAGGCATGGCAAGTTCTGGAGCACTATTGCTGGAATATTGTCGGGGGCCCGTTAACTCTACAATATCCAGTGCTCTCAACCATTTCTCGATATCATATGAAATGAACTGAATTGGTTTAAGCCTAGCATCTATGATGCTTTGGATCCTCGGAGGAAGCTGAGATGGATCAACCACTCAGCACTTCTGGCTGAAGGTTGCTGCAAATGCCACAATGTTGTTTGGGAAGGAGTTCCAGGATTTTGACCCACTGACACTGAAGGAAGGGTGAGATATTTCCAAGTCAAGGTGGTGAGTGGCTAGGAGGGGATCTTGCAGATGGTAATGTTCCCATGTATCTGCTGCCCTTATCCTTGAGGATGGAAATGGTCATTGGTTTAGAAAGTGCAATCTTAAGGACGCCTGGTGAATTTCTGCAGTGCATCTTGTAGATGATACTCACTGCTGCTATTGAGCATTGATAATGGATGGACAATTGTGGATGTGGCGACAACTGGAAATCATCTGATCCATCAGCCAAGGTGGGGGCAGTAGATGGTAATCAGCAGGATTTTTTTGCCTTTTTTTGACTTAATGCCATGAAACTTCAAACAGAATGCAATCAACGTCAAGGAAACAACTTGCTCCTCACAGTATATCATGGTGTTGCCACCTCTGCTCTGCTTGTCCTGTCAGTGGGACATCAAAGGTGACATTATCTATAAGGTATAATTCTGTGAGTAAGACTATCGTAGAATTCCTTACAGTGTGGAAGCAGACTATTCAGCCCATCAGGTCCACATTGTACCTCCAACGAGCATCCCACCTAGACCCACTTACCCCACCTCTGTAACGCTGCATTTCCCATGGCTAACCCACCTGGCCTGCACATCCTTTGACACTATGGGGCAATTTAGCATGGCCAATCCACCTAACTTGCACATCTTTGGACTGTGGGAGGAAACCGGAGCACCCAAGCAGACACGGGCAGAACGTGCTAACTCCACACAGACAGTAACCCGAGACTGAAACAAACCTGGGTCCCTGGTGCTGCGAGGCAGCAGTGCTAACCACTCAGACATTGTGCCGCCTCTGACTATGTCAGATTGTTACTTGATTAATCTGTTAGACAGCCCTCCCAATTTTGGCACCAGCTCCCACATGTTGATAAGGGAGACTTTTCAGAATCAACAGGGCTTAATTTGCCTTTACTGTTTCCTATGTCTAGACTAGTGCTGGTGCTCTATCTGGTTTTGTTCCTTAAAGACTTCTTAGCAGATTCGATACAACTGAGAAGCCTCTGAAGCTAGTTAAGCAGTGCCTGACATGGAGTGAGTGTAACGGTGCTGTGAATATGGGGCGCAGACAGAAAACTTGCAGAATGCAGAGATAATTATCCTTCTTACACGATTGTAGAATCTTTTTACCGTGGAGACTGCACTGACCCAGGTATTTATTTCCATCCAGGCTGGCTGCTTCTGATGACATGGCCTCCTTTCCCAGTCTGGGTGATAGGGCACTCCCCTTCTGTTGACCACCTCCTCTGCCAGGATCCCTAAGTCCTTGTCAGGGAACAGGGTGCCAGTATCCCTTTCTGAGTCATTTTCTCAGTTGAGGCGTGAAACAGCAGAGTGTGATGGCGAGTTCCTGATTTGCAGCATCTCAAGTGTTGCGTGAATTCAACAATTTTGCGACAGTAGCAAGCACTTCCACCTAGCCTGTCATATGGTTGCATAAATGGATGCTGTAGAAGTCGGTTGTATAATTAATAAGCTGAAGAGCAAGCAATCATGCGAGAAAAGTTGACAGGACAGGGCTATGGGAATGGTAAATTCAGCTCCATCATGCATAGTCTCCCTTTTTAACCAGAGGTCTCTTTTATAGCCCGCCTGTACCTTTTATATCGTCAGCTGACTGCACATATCACCAGTGAAACGCTGCCACAACTGCTTAATAAAGTATGTTTTGCATGCACATGGCTGACACTTGAAATTTTAATTATAATCATATGGGAAAGGGCAAAAACAGAGAGCTGAAGTGGTGTTGGTTTAAACATGGAATAATGTTCACAAAATCCCAGTCTGTGTGTGAAACCAGTGCAATCTCAATTCGGTATTCGTGGTTGAACCGATTAGAATGGTCCAAACTCATTCCAAGACAATTCTTGGTTGTAAATTGTTCAGTATTTGGAAGAGTATCACTATCTCAGCCAAAGAATTATTAGCAATTGTCCATTTTCTCTGAGCAAATCACAGTTGCCTAAAAGTTACATCTACATTCCAATTTATTTCAATGCCACAGATGTTATAATTTATAATTAAGTTACTTATAATTTCTGAACTTACCAAGGTTATCTGTCACAATAAGGGCACTCTGAAACACCTTCAATCCATGACCCACAATGTGGATAAAATCTTCAACTACTCGCATCAAGTAGATCGATCCAGGTGCAACCTTTACGAAATCAATCAACATTACTGTATTAACAGTATTACCACAATTAAATCCAAAAGAAACTTCAATTGAGCCAAGTATTATTTCAATTACAACAGTTAATCTAGCATAATTAATCATTCAAGGGGTTTGGAATTGTAAGCAATTGTAATCCAGGACTAGAACTTGAATCCAAATGCAGAACTTAGGTCACATATTTAAGTAAATTAATTACTAGCAGTGCAGTTTGTATTTAATTGATTAAGAACATAAAATTTACATTAGTGTTGCTTCCCATTCTGGAATGGATACAACTCCATAGGAATTCAAAAGTCTTATGCCTAAACTACTGGTTTCATAAATACTGAAATTTAAATTTCTCAATCTTATGTTTAAATCTTCCCTCTCCTTATCTCTAAACTTTTCCAGCCCTACGAACCTCAGAGAACTCTGCATTCCTCCAATTCTGACTCCTTGAATAACCCAGATTTCCTTCATCCAATTATTAGCATCCATGGCTTCAGCAGTCTATGTCCCATGCTCTTCCTCAGTATCTTCATCTACACCTCCAATGTACAACTTCAAAAGAACATTGACAATTTGGCAGAGTGGGCAGATAGGTGGCAGATGAATATGGAAAACAGTGAGGTGACACATCTTGATACAAAGAACATGGAGAGAATGTAGCAAATAAAGGATACTGTGCTAAAGGATGCACAGAAGCAGAAAGACCTGAGTGCATATGTGCATAAGTTATTATAAGTGGTAGGATAAATACAGAGATTTGTTAAGAAAAACACTATTCTGGCTTCATTATTAGGGGCATAGAGGTAATTCTGAACTCATATAGGACACTGATTAGACTACAGCTGAAGTATTTTATACATTTCATGGTGCCACACTTTAGGAAGCATGTGAATGCACTGGAGAGAATACAGAAGAAGTTTACAAGAATGTTGCAGAGAGGAGAAATGTCTGAACAGCTTGGAGAAGGAACTGTTTTCCTTGGAGAGGAGAGGGCTGAGGGGAGATTTCATAGCAATTTTCAAAATCATGAGAGGTCTGGACTGAGTAGATAGGGAGAAAATTTTCTTGCTCATAAGAGGATCACGAACCAGAGGGTGCAGCTTTAAAGTGTTTTGCAAAAGAAGGAAATGCAGGGTGAGAAAAAACTTCTTTCCCCACAGTGAGTGGCTCAGGTTGGAATTTATTGCCTGGAAGTGCAATGGAGGCAGATTCAATTGAGGTATTCAAGAAGACATTGAATAATTATTTAAATAGAAACAATGAATAGGTTTGTGTGGAAAAGGTAGGAGTTTGGCTCTAAGTGCCATTGCAGACAGGATGGACCAAATGGCCTCCTTTTGAAATCAGAGAATATAAAGATTATAGATTCTATGGACTACTCCTGAATTTTCACTTCTACTGGGAATTTCTTGGGCCCTGTTCTGGGACTGTTGAATCGAAGAATATGTTGAAATAAATTTAATGTCAAATGGAATTGGATGCAGTTGTACTTCACCAAAAATCAACTTTAATTACTTTGATCAACTTCATTTAATTTTCACTACCCAACTAACCACGGCATGTCTTTGGCTGCCTTGATAATGGGCTCAAATGCATGGCACGTGTATAAATATCATAAGCAGGTTTTGGGAGCCGTAGACAGATGTGTACTGGAAATGATACTCGTCCAAAATGATGAATGTTTATTCATTATTTACACTTTATACCAATGCATGGTTGAGCTGGACTTCACTACAACCATCTTACATCAGGCTCATGTGATCTGACATCATTGATGATCAGTCTAGCTGTAGGGATTACAATGAGGTTGGCCAGTTGGATCTCATTGAGTACGGGTTCCCAGATTGGTCTGTTAATCTGGGCCAATCAGGGAATCCTGGCTGACAATATAAACAGGAGTCTCAGGGATTCTCCTCACTCTATGGACTGGCTGTGACCTAGCTAGTCAGAGTCCAAGTACTGTGCATGTGTAAATACAGGGTGACAGGGTGACAGGGTGACAGGGTGACAGGGTGACAGGGT